AACACAGCATAAGAAAAGATCTGCAGAGCATGTACCAAAGCAAAGCCTACTGCCATCTATAATACAGGAAATGAATAACTGGGCGGAAATGATACCTAAAATGCAAATTTTGTTAGTGATTATTAAATGAAATAGATGATACTTAATGTGTGTGAAAAATAGCTTAGTACAATACAAATATTTTTATAACATTATCTTTACTGCTAGCCTTGCTACAACATTTACAAACATACCAGAACATGCTATCTCTTAGCTCCAACAACAGAACTTATATAGCAGGAAGGCATGCAAATAAGGTCCATCTCTTCTCATGAAAACCAGATAAACATTGGCCCTGAATCTCAGACAAAGGAATCAGTCCTGGATGCCCAGTTCTTCCATTTCAGTAATCAGCACGGACAATAAAACACAATGGATTTGGTGTTCATTTGGGTTTTCCTTGTTGCTTGTTTAAAAGGTAATTCATAAAGAAAAGATACTGACTGTGTTAGTGCACATGAACTATTTATATAAAAGATAGATATTCTGTAACAATTTAATAACAACCTTTTCTGTGTTTGCAGGTGTCCAGTCTGAGGTGAAGCTTGTGGAGTCTGGAGGAGGCCTGGTGAAGCCTGGAGGATCTCTGAGACTATCCTGTGTAGCCTCTGGATTCACTTTCAGTGACTTCTGGATGTACTGGTATCGCCAAGTTCCAGGGAAGGGACTGGAGTGGGTTGGAGGTATTAGTACAGACAGCAGTACTATAAGATATGCACCATCCGTGAAGGATCGATTCACCATCTCCAGAGACAATGCCAAGAACACTCTGTACCTGCAAATGAACAGTGTGAGATCTGAGGACACAGCCACTTATTACTGTGCTAATGACACAGTGATGGAACTTCAGTGTTCAGACATAAACCTCACTGTTAGGCCACTCAGGGCCACCAGGGGGTGCAAAAGACACAGAATACAGGTTCATCCCAGTAATTTATGCAGACATGATTAGATTAAGCACTCTTCTCAGGCGTTTCACCTGCATTTCTTTTGTTGTTCTTGTTGTTTATTACTTTATTTATTACTTTATTTATTTTTTTAAGATTTCTGCCTCCTCTCTGCCACCGCCTTTAATTTCCCTTCCCTTCCCCTAGTCAAGTCCCCCTCCCTCAACAGCCCCAAAGACCAGTCAGGGTTCTCTGCCATTTGAGAAGTCCAAGGAACTCCCACCTCCTTCCATGTCTAGTAAGGTGAGCATCCAATCTGCCTAGGCCCCCACAAAGCCAGTACGTGCAGTAGGATCAAAAACCCATTGCCATTGTTCTTGATTTCTCAGCTGTCCTCATTGTCTGCTATGTTCAGCAAGTTCGGTTTTATCCCATGCTTTTCAGACCCATTCCAGCTGGCCTTAGTGAGTTCCTGATGATAACATCCCCACTGTCTCGGTATGTGGGTGCACCCCTTGCGCTCCTGAGTTCCTTGCTCATGTTCTCTCTTCTTCTGCTCCTGATTTGGACCTTGGGATTACAGTCTGGTACTCCAATGTGGGTCTCTGTCTCTGTCTCCTTTCTTCACCTGATGAAGGTTAATATCCAAGAGCATGACTATTCTTTTTCTTTGGGTTCACCTTCTTATTTAACTTCTCTAGGATCACGAATTATAGGCTCAATGTCCTTTATTTATGGCTAGAAACCAATTATGAGTGAGTACATCCCATGTTCCTCTTTTTGGGTCTGGCTTACCTCACTCAGGATAGTGTTTTCTATTTCTGCCCATTTGCATGCAAAATTCAAGAAGTCATTTTTTTTTTTTTTTTTACTACTGAGTAGTACTCTAATATGTATATATTCCATACTTTCTTAATACATTCTTCCATTGAAGGGCATCTAGATTGTTTCCAGGTTCTGGCTATTACAAACAATGCTGCT